CGCCCACTATCACCACTCCTATTCAAGATAGTACTGGAAGTCCTAGCCAGAGCAATCAGGAGAGAGAAAGAAATAAAAGGCATTTAAATTGGAAAAGAGAAAGTCAGTGTCTCTTTTTGCAGATGTCATGATCATATAGAAAAAGATTCTACCAAAAAATTAATAGAACCAATGAATGAATTCAGGAAAGTTGTAGGATACAAAATCAACATACAAAAATCAGTTTTTTATTTGATTTTGAGGTGATGGGTCACCTGAGCCCAGAAGTTCAAGCGTTTCTATATACCAATGGTGAACTATTACTAGCTGAGAAAGAAATCAAGAAAGCAATCTCATCTGCAACTGGTACCAAAAACCAGTACCGAGGGATAAATGTACTCAAGCCAGTTAAGTACCTCTACAATGAAAACTATAAAACATTGATGACAGAAATTTAAGAGGACACAAACAAATGGAAAGACAACCCATGTTTATGGACGAAAAGAATTAATTTTGTTAAAGTGACCATACCACTCAAAGCAATCTACAGATTCAAGTTGATCTCTATCAAAATACCAATGACATTCTTCACAGAGATAGAAAAACAATCATAAAACTTGTATGGAACCAAAAAAGACCCTAAATGGCCAAAACAATACAGAGCAAAAAGAACAAAGCTGGAGGTATCACACTATCTGACTTCAAAATACAGTACAGGCTGGGTATGGTGGCTCACACCTACAATCTCAGCACTTTGGGAAGCCCAGGTGGGTGGATCACCTGAGGTCAGGAGTTTGAGACCAGCCTGGCCAACATGATGAAACACTGTCTCTACTAAAAATACAAAAAATTAGCCAGGCATGATGACAGGTATCTGTAATCCCAGCTACTTGGGAGGCAGAAGCAGGAGAATTGCTTGAACCCAGGAGGCAGAGGTTGCAGTGAGCCAAGATTGTGCCACTGCATTCCAGCCCGGGCAACAAGAGCAAAATTCCACCTCAAAAACAAACAAGCAAAAAACAGTACAAAGCTATAATAACTCAAACAGCATAGTACTGGCATAAAAACACACATTTTGCAATGGAACAGAAAAGAAAGCCCTGAAATAAATCCATGTGTTTAGAGCCCATTGATTTTTTTTTTATAAAGTCATCAAGAACATATACTAGGAAAGGAACTCTCTCTTCAATAAATGGTGCTGGGAAAACTGGATACCCATGTGCAGAAGAGTGAAACTAGACACTTATCTCTGACCATACACAAAAAATCAACTCAAAATGGATTGAGGCTAGGTGCGGTGGTTTACTGCTATAATCCCAATACTTGGGGAGGCTGAGGTGATGGGTCACCTGAGCTCAGAAGTTCAAAACCAACCTGGGCAATGCAGGAAAACCCCATCTCTACAAAAAACCAACAAACAAAAAAATTTAGCTGGGCAAAATGAACAGCACCATAGACAAAATGGTGCTGTTCAATATCACTAATATGCAAGGAACTGAAACAACTCAACAGCAAAAATATGAAAATATACAAAAGGCCAATGAAAAATGTTCAACATCACTAATCATCAGGAAAATGCAAATCAAAGCCATAACGAGGTATCGTCTCACCCCAGTTGGAATGACTATTAGACAAAAAATGACGGATGCTAGAGAGAGTGAGGAGAAAAGGGAACTGTTCTATAATGTCGGTGGAAATGCAAAATAGTATGACCACCAGAGAAAAACAGTATGTTTTCAAAATCCAAAAAATAGAACTACAACATGATCCAATAATCCTACTACTGGGTATTTATCCAAAAGAAAGGAAATCAGTACATCAAAGGGATACCTGTACCCCCATGTTTACTGTAGCACTATTCACAATAGCCAAAATATGGAATCAACCTAAAGATTCAACGGTTAAGGAAAATATGGTATATACACACAATGGAATACTATTTGGCCATGAAAAAGAATGAAATCCTGTCATTTGCAGCAACATGGATGGAACTGGAGGTCATTGTGTTATGTGAAATAAGCCGGACACAAAAAGACAGATACTACATGTTCTCACTCATATATGGATGCTAAAAAAGTTGATCTCGTGGATACAGTGAGTAGAATGACAGTTACCAAAGTCTGAGAAGTGTGGTGCAGGGTGATGAAGAGGCTGGTTAATGCATATAAACACATAGTAAGATAGAGGGAATAAAGTCCAGTGTTTGACAGCACTGTAGGGCGACTACAGTTATCAGCATATTGTATATTTCCAGATTGCTCAAAGGGAAGAGCCGAAATGCTCCCAACACAAAGAAATGAGGAACATTTGTCCGGGCATGGTGGCTCATGCCTGTAATCCCAGCACTCTGGGAGGCTAAGGCAGGAGGATCACTTGAGGTCAGGAGTTTGAGTTCGAGACCAGCCTGGCCAACATTGTGAAACCCCACCTCTACTGAAAATACAAAAATTAGCCAGGCATGGTGGTGCACACTTGTAATCCCAGCTAGTTGGGAGGCTGAAATGGGAGGACTGCTTGAACTCAAGATGTCGAGGTTGCAGTGAGCCAAGATTGTGTCACTGCACTCCAGCCTGGGTGACAGAGTAAGACTCAAAAAAAAAGAAGGAAATAACTGTGGGAAAGGCGATGGATAGCCTAAATACCCAGACTTGATCATTAAACATTGTATATATGTATCAACATATCACACACACCTCATAAACATGTACAATTACTGTTTATAAAAAAAAATAGGAATGTTAGAAAGTATATTGCTGCCCAGGACAACAAAAAAGGATAGCAATAAAGCTTATTTCCTTTATGCCCTGAAACTCTTTTCCATTTTTTTTTAATATTTTTATTACTTTTAAAGAGACAGGGTCTCACTCCATTGCCAAGGCCAGTGTGGTGCTGCAGTCACAGCTCACTGCAGCCTCAAACTCCTGGGCTTAGGTGGTCCTCCCACCTCAGGCTACCAACTAACTGGGACTACAGGCACATACCACCACATCTGGCTCATTTTTTCTTTTCTGTTACCCAGGCTGGAGTGCAATGGTACAATCTCAGCTCACTGCAACCTCTGCCTCCTGGGCTCAAGCACTTCTCATGCCTCAGCCTCTCAAGTAGCTAGGGCTACAGGCGCCCACCACCACATCTGGTTCATTTTTGTATTTTTAGTAGAGATGGGGTTTTGCCATGTTCCAGGCTAGTTTCGCATTCCTGGCCTCAAGTGATCTTCTCGCCTCAGCCTCCCAGAGTGCCTCCCGGATATAAGCCCCTGCGCCTGGTCCATGCTTGGCTAATATTTTAAAAATAATTTCTAGTTGAGATATGTTGCCCAGACTGGTCTCGAACTCCTGGTTTCAAGTGATCCTTCCACCTCAGCTTCCCAAAGTGTTGGGATTATAGGCTGGGATTAAATCTCCCCGCAGCCCTTTTTCTTCCTTTCTATGAGTCCTGCCAGTCCCTGGGATAGGCTTAGACCACCTCTTTTAGAAGCCAACAAGGCCCTGGGGAACAGACTGGCTCCATGCAGAGCTGGACCCTGAGCGTCCATGGCTCTCCTGCTGGTGAGCCCGAAGGACTGGGCCCCGGCTGAGGCACCAGGGTCCCTGGTGATGGTGAGTCCCGACACAGCCTCACTATCACTACTTCCCCCCTGCTGCCTAGCAAGCACTCCATGTGCTCAGGCATGGTGCCACATGACCCGCCGCAAGTCTGGAAAGTCACTTCTTAACCCCACTGTCCAGATGTGCAAACTGAGAATCAGAAAGGCAGAGCACTTGCCAAGGTCACACAACTTATAGATCGGAACCCAAGTCTGATGTTGACTCTGAGGCCACTGGTTCTTAGCCTCCTGTCACATGGCTCATAGAAATTCTGCCTTCCCTCACCTCAAAGTCCCTACAGTTCACGATATAAATTTGTTTTTTGAATTAGCTGGGCATGGTGGTGCACACCTGTAGTCCCACTACTCAGAAGGCTGAGGCATGAGAATCACTTGAGAGTCCCCATCACGAGTGAGACAAGGCCAAACATGCCTCCCTGCAGTATCAGAAGGCCACCTCTCTAGCGCCATCCCCAGCTCAGCCACAACCCACACCCTTCCTCAATGCGGCATCCACACACCAAGCAAACACTGGCCTCAGTGTCCTTTCTCCGGCAGGTCCTCATGCCCGTAAGTCTCCTTTCACAGCGGGCTGCGGATGATGGGAAGAAGACAGAGGCAGAAGCGGCATATGGAAGACAATCCTTCCTGGACTGCCTCCCTCTCTCAGCACTCAGTCACTCGGTCATTCAACAAACATTCACTGAGTACCTAGCTGTGTAAGGTAAGTTCTATGGCAATGTAAAGAGGAATGTGGAAGCTGGGGACCTGCTCTTCAAGAAGCTTATAGTGAGTAGGTCTAACAAGCCATATATAACCACAGCAGCTCAAGGAAACAATTTTTTTTTTTTTTTTTTTTGAGACGTAGTCTCTTCCTGTTGCCAGGCTGGAGTCCAGTGGCACGATCTCGGCTCACCGCAACCTCCAACTCCCTGGTTCCAAGTGATTCTCCTGCCTCAGCCTCCTGAGTAGCCAGGATTACAGGCATGCGCCACCATGTTCAGCTAAATTTTTTTTTTTGTATTTTTAGTAGAGATGAGGTTTCACCATGTTGACTAGGATGGCCTCAATCTCCTGACCTTGTGCTCTGCCCACCTCAGCCTCCCAAACTGCTGGGATTACAGGCATGAGCCACCATGCCCAGCACAAGGAAACTAACCTAAGTGTCCCACAGAAATGACAGCATGCTGTGGGGACTTAAGAGGGGCAGGGAGCATGCTACTGCTGGGTGGAGGAAAGCAAGCCTGGCTGGTGGGCTCCACGCGAGGCAGGCCTTATGGATGGCAAAGGCTTCAGTGGGGGGAGATGTGGGGGAAGCAGGGTCCAGAGGGAGGACGTGGTGCAGGCAGAAGCCCCGAGGCAGGACGTGCTTGCTGGGTGTGTAGCGAAGGGGAGAGACGTGGGGCCAGGCTCCTCCCTGCCCTCCTGTCCTTACCCTGGGGAAGATGACAGGGCTGTGTGTTACAAGGCTCCACGTCCACAGGCTTGGAGTGCTGCAGGCTCCCACAGTGGCTGGGCGGCCCAGTGGCACAGATGACCTGTCGCCTCCGAGTGCCCGAGCTGCAGCTCTTGGAGCACTGAGGCCCACGGGTGGGAAAGAGAGACCCTGAGGGTGAGGGTGAGGGTAATGGCTGGGGTGGGAGTGGGGGTGGGGGTGGGGGTGAGGATGCACATGGAGAGAGGCAGGGAAAGGTGCCCAGTGGTGCAGGACAGATCAAAGGATGGCGCTCAGGTGCAGCCACCTGCTGGGTCAGGTAGCAGGTGGGGGGTGGAGAACACTCACTAGACCCCAGGCGCCGACATGCCAGGCCTGGTCACTGAGGAGGGGGCAGTCCTCATGCACACAGGGCTCGGTGAGAGGTGGCCGGTCTTCCAAGGAGCATGCTGCAGTATGGAGCAAAGAACCCCTGTCACCCCGGCAAGTGACACTCCGCCTCCGGACGCCGATACCGCAGCTGACAGAACACTGCAAGGACAGAGCTGTCAGCAGGAGCTCCCCTCTGCACTGAGGAGCCACGCCATGTTGGACAGCTAGCAGCCTGCCAGCCTGGTGTGGAGGCGGACAGCACTCAACTGCCCATGTTTTTCCCAGGCCCAGAGAGGCTAAGTCACTCCCCTGAGGTCACACAGCCTGAAACATGGCTACTGACAAGACTGAGGTTGTCACCCATTTGTGTTTTCCACCCATTTGCAATTGGAACACATGTAGGTGCTGGAAGCAATGACTGGCAGCCTAGACACTGCCACCTCCTCCCTTGCCCCAAACAACACACCCAGCTTCTTCCTGCCCACACCTTTCCTGCCCTGCCCTGGGATCCCAGAGAAAGAGGAGGAGCCCTGGGCCAGCCATCCAGGTACTTGCTGGTTCCAGCCTTGGCCAAAGCTTCCAAGGTGACCTAGCAGGTCACTTTACCTCCTAGGACCTCAGTTCCCACCACAGAGGACAGCCCAGCCTGCCCTGCTACTGCCCAGGCCCAGCACCACCCCACCCAGGCCAGGGGCTCACCTCTCCCCAGGGCTCTGGGCTCCAGGCAGCGCAGCGCTGCAGGTTGCAGGCCTGCATGGCAGGGGGCTTCCCAGGCAGCCCGGCACACTCAGCCTCCTCCACGGCCTCCTGGACACCAGCCCCATCAGACGAGATGCAGTACACCAAGCGGGACTGGGAGCCTCCTCCGCAGGAGGCCGAGCAGGACCCCCACGGCCCTGCCTTCCAGCTGGCAGGAGGGAGATTCAGGTAAGGCTGCCCCAGGAGCACGGGCCAAAGCCCAGCCCCAAGGGGCACAAGCCCTCACTCACACAGACGGCCCGAGCCCCACCCCAGCCCATCCTCTGAACCTCCGGCCAGAACAAAGACTAGGACCCAGGCACTCCTTAGTATCCCAGCACCAGGCCTGGCTCTCTGAGCGCTCCCCACTACGCTCCCCACTACTCGGAGCCCCGAGCCTCCCCTTAGCTTTCCTGTCCCCACCCCACCCCCCTTTCTCCTTCCCAACAGGTCCCTGTCTCCCAGTCAGACTCCATTCCTCTTGGCCTGACCTTAGTCAGGGACAGCTCTGGGGAGGCTGTACCCACCTATGTGTGGAGTGGCTCTGCCAGGCCGCACTTGCAAGGACCCGGAGGAAGAGCAGCCCCTGAGGCCCCATGCAAAGCCTAGCCCGCCACCATCCCAGGAGGCCCGCTGCCACCAAGGCCAGGCGGTGATGGGGTGGAGCCAGCCCTGAGGGGAGCCTGTGACCTGCAGGTTACCTGTTCCCACACACTCGCCGGGCCCCAGCAAGGTGCCACGCTCCAGGCCGGTGCAGGTAAGAGGTCCTTTGTGCATGAACAAAGGCATGGCCAATGCCAACAGGCCCTTGGGCCCGACCCCTGGCCCACCCATCAGCATCTGCTGGGCCAAGTCCTCTACCGGCTCAGACAGACAGGGACCTCTGGAACCTTCCCAAACCCTCCTGCCACCAGTGTGGGCATTGAGTACTTCGTGGTCATGAGAGGGCAGACACACCAGCCCTGGGCTCAGGCCCATTCTCTGCCTCCCTCAGGAATAGCTGCCACCTCCTCCACCCTCCGGCCACAGCGTGGGGAGCCCTGGACCCCCCCGACTCTTTGTCCTATACCTAAAGCAGCTTGGAGGCCCTGTTCCCTTCCCACCCAAGTTCTAGGGCCCCATCATGGGTAGAGGGGCTGGCAAGGCCTCACCGCTTGGTCTCTGGGCAAGGGTGAAGGTTGCAGGAGCGGCGGTCGGCCGGCCGTGGCTGGCGCTGGCACATGTGGTCCGGGTAGGCCTCGTGGTCAATGGTACAGAACACCAAGCGGGACTGGTGACCTGTGCAGAGACCCGGCCACAGCGGGCAGCCACCAGTCAACATTCACCAAGCACCTTCCCAAGGCCATACTGCACTCACCCCGAAGCTCATCCCCATTCAGTCTCAGATGACCCCCTGAGGCAAGTGCCAGATCATCCCCAATTGACAGATGAGGAAACTGAGCCTCAAAGAGTTTTCTCTGTGAGTGACCGAGCCCTGCTCTGGCCCCTCATCACTGACCCCAGGCCACACCTCCACTTCTGATGGAGTGTGCCTCCTATGAGAGGCCACTGCCTCTGGGAAGCCCCCTCTGGTTCTGTTCGTTTAGGCTGGGGTCCTTCATGGAGTCCCCAGATCGCCGGGTTTTCCTCAAAGTGACCCCCAAAACACAGAGATTTCTCGCCTACTTGTCCATCTCCCCAGAAGGGACTGCCTTTGAGGAGAGGGCTGTGACTTGCCCACCATGGCTGTGGCCCCGGCACACAGGGCCATGCCCTCCCCTGCCATCCACACCCGCACCTCCACCACACTCCATGCTGCAGTCACTCCAGGAGCCGTGGCTCCAGCTGAAGCCGGGGCTGGGATGGTGCAGAGGCAGGTGGTACTCGTAGTGCACACCGGGGTTGGGCTCCTGGCTGATGAGCTGCCACGGGAGGGTCCTGGTTGGGGTCTGCTGCTGGGGGGCACTCCCACACCCTCCACAGCCCCACAGCCCCTGCCAGCCACAGGCCCAGAGCCACTCAACCCCCATTGCAGAGCTTGGTAGCCTCTTGGGGACCACGTGCCACCCACTCACCCTCTTCCCTCACAGCCCTGTTTACCTCAATGACCAGGGGCTCCGAGATGGGGCCCCGGGCATGGAGCCGCTCCGGGGCAAGGTCCCCCTCAGTACCCCGCTCGTAATGCAGGATGGTGCTGGCTGCTGGCAGGGCCTGGGCCGCCTCAATGGTCCAGTGCCCATTGAGGTAGTATTCCCCATGAACGTTCTTCACAGCTGCGCAGAGGAGACGGCCTCAGTCAGCCAGAGTCGGTGGGGTGGGCAGCACCACACCTCCCCGTTACCCCAAACCTGCCCAGGACCCAACCCAGGCTCTCACCCAGAAAGTTCCTGCTGGCAGCAGCCTCCTCGATGAGGATGCTGGTGGCACCCACAGGAACTATGAGAATCTGGTTGTAGCCTGGTGGGAGCAGAGATGCTGGCTGGGGGTGCTGAGCTACCCTACCCTGGCACCCTCAAATGGCAAGAAAAAGCAAGTCCCCAAGGACTCCAGTGCCGTGCAGCACAGAATGGGAGCAAGCAGATATGCAGGAGCCAGGCAGGGCTGAGCTGCTGGGAATGGCAACCCTGGCAGAGGAAGCTGCTGTGCAAAAGCCAGGGTGGCAGAAAGCTCAGGGCACCTGGAGCAGACTGAGAGAGGGAAGGGATGGGGAGGGCATCCAGGCAGTGGCAGCGGGAGGTGATACTGCACAAGTGGGCAAGGGTCCAAAGCCCATGGGGGCCTTTCAGATGTGACCTGATATGGTCAGAGCCTTCTGTTGCCACGAGGGCCACTTGGCCTGAAGCCTAGGCCAGAGCAGGGACAGGCAAAGAAGGGGCAGGCAACAGCCCTTTGTTGGAACTGCCCCCACCTCGGCTGAGGTCATTAGCGTCAAAGGTGCCTGTGACAGGGTAGCAGGTTGTGCCGTCACCCCCGCACTGCAGACACTTGTCCTCCTGCTTGGATGAGTCCAGCTGGTGGTCACAGCCGACAACCTGTGGGCAGAGATGCAGGAGGCATGGGAGACGGCATCATGGCCATGCCAGGCCTTGGGTCCCATCGCATCCTAACCCCAGCACCCACACAGCCCAGGCAGACCAGGGTGGTCAGGAGCGGTTCAGTCACGAGGGGACTGGCCTGTGGCTGACAATCACTCATCTGTCTGCTCAGCTCCCATCTCCCCTCATCTGGTAATGATGCCGTTTTCCTTTAGGGAAACCTCTCTTCTGCGGGTCTGAGTGGGGCTCCCCCAAATGTGGGTTTGAGCAGGTCGGAGTGGTTCAGGATAAGTCCCAAGCCAAGACAAATCAGAGGCAACCCCTGGTGGCCGGAACTCCTGAGAACGAGGCCCCCTTTCCCTGGGAGTGGCCACGCTCCCAGCGTAGAAGCCCAGAGCAGCTGGAGGCCACCTCCACGCCTCCTGGAAAGAACCGGCCTGATCTGACGCTGGACCCAGAGAGGAAAGCGGAGCAGCACTTCTTTCATGCACCTATGGCTGCCCCTCGTGTTTGTTTTTCTGAAGTCAGTTTTAGCTGGGTTTCTGTAACACGCCACCCAGAGGGTTTCTCTCATTGCGGGGCTAGCACTCTCCAAGGATGAAGGTGAGGGGCCACAGGGCATCTGTGATAGCTGCAAGGGACACCAGGAGCTGGGCTTGGTGTCGCGATAACTTGAGAAGACACCAAGTTCGTGGCAGCTACCTGGGCCTGTGGGTGACGGGCAGGGAAACACGGTACTGAGCCCCCAGCCAGCCCTGAGGCAGGGGCGGCGCTGGGGTACCACTCACCCGGCAGCTGCCGTCCACACACACGTCCCTCTTGCCAGGCTCGCAGGGCGTCCCATCGACCACGGCCTCCCTGTGCTTGTAGTAGAAGTTCTCCCCCTTGGGAATGCAGTTCAGTTCACACTTGTTTGGGGCTGGGGTAGGCAGGAAGCAAGACTGAGATCCTGAGGCTGGATGATGCCCAACCCAGGGCCCAAGGCCTACCCTCGCAACAGGGAAGCGTGGGTCAGAAAGGCCTGCAGCAGCCCCCACAGTGGGGTGGGGGGCACAGATCCCCACCTCATCCCAAGGAGAAGGGACAGTCTCCATGAATCTGTCGCACCTCTAAGGATCAAATTGAAGAAAAAAATCCCAGAATCAGGACAAAGTGAAGCACTTGAAGTCTACTTCAGTATTATTCACCACAGCTGAAGTCATTACAACAGGCTTTTTTTTTTTTTTGAGATGGAGTTTTGCTCGTCACCCAGGCTGGAGTGCAGTGGTACGGTCTCGGCTCACTGCAATCTCTGCCTCCCGGGTTCAAGCGATTCTCCTGCCTCAACCACCTGAGTAGCTGGGATTACAGGTACGCGCCACCATGCCTGACTACTTTTTGTACTTTTAGTAGAGATGGGGTTTCACCATGGTGGCCAGGCTGGTCTCGAACTCCTGACCTTGGATGATCCACCTGCCTCGGCCTCCCAAAGTGCTGGGATTACAGGCGTGAGCCACCTCGCCCGGCCACAACAGGCTACTCTTTAAATAAATTATCTATCAATGGAATATTACACATGCTGACTTTGCAGTTACAGATGATGATTGTGAAGACTATACCGTGTGGGAAGATGCTTAAAACACAGAATGCAAAATGGTAATTAATATGCAATGATTACAAATATGTAAGCCTATATGGAGAAAATAATGTGAGGAGGAGGAAAATGAAATGCTAACAGTGATCTTGCGAAAGGGGCAGGATGAGGGTAACTTTTTTCTGGCTTTAATGTTTTTCAGATGAGATCTCACTTTGTCTCCCAGGCTGGAATGCGGAAGCACGATCAAAGCTCACAGCAGCCTCCACCTCCCAGACTCAAGTGGTTCTCCAGTCTGTCTCTCAAATATCTGGGACTATAAGCACATGCCACCATGCCCAGCTAATTGTACTTTTGTAGAGACAGGGTCTCCCTCCAGTGCCCAGGCTGGTTTCAAACTCCTGGGCTCAAATGTTCCTCCTGCCTCAGCCCCCCAAAGCACCTGAATTACAGGCAGGAGATACTGTACCTGGCCTGGTTTTAATTTTTTTTTCTTTTGGAGACAAAGTCTCACTCTGTCATTCAGGCTGGAGTGCAGTGGTGTGACATTGGCTCACTTCCATCTCAACTTCCTGGGCTCAAGTGATCCTCTCACCTCAGCCTCCTGAATAGCTGGGACTACGTGTGTGTGCCCACATGCCTGGCTAATCTTTGTATTCTTTGTAGAGATAGGGTTTCACCATGTTGCCCAGGCTTGTCTCAAACTCCTGGGTTTGAGTGATCCTCCCACTTCAGCCTCCCAAAGTGCTGGGATTACGAATATGAGCCACTGTAGTCAACCTTAATTTTTATATTTATCTAAATATATGCACATTTACCAAAACCTAAAATGCAATAAAAATATTTAATTTCCTCTGGAAAAGAAAAAATATATATATACACACATTTAAAAACAGCCTGAAAGTACAAACAGGATCACAGTCATCTCCACACCGCTGATGGCATCCCTCTACTCTCTTTCTAGACTTTCCTCTGTCTTCCAGTGTTTCTATCATGTGAATATACGCTAATCATTTTTGACATGTGTCCACTTCAGGATCCAGGGGAATACTGAAAGCTAAAGAGTCCCACTGGGGCCACACCCACAGCCACGACCCCCACCACACACAGAGGATATGAGAACCCAGAGTGCCATGGGGTCTCCAGAGGTCATTTGCAGCAAGCAGGAAAAACTCAGAAGAGGTATCTTGAGGAATCTTCTGACTCACCTAAAACGCTTAATGACATACACGGTGGTGCTTATTGGGGGTGTTTTTTTCCTGGACTGTATTTCTCTAAACATTACTTATACCCTCCTCAGAGGTACTCAGACCATCTCCTTTGGCCCCCGATCCTTGGTAAATGAGGTCTTGGTGTACCAAGCCGCTTCCAACCCCTCCTGCAGGATGACCGGGCAATACCATTCCTACTGCTCCTGGGGATTCCCACTTCCGTCTCTCTGTGACAGGAGGAACGCTTCCCACAGCAGACTGAGCAAAAACAGGCTCAAAATGGTATAGACACAGCATGGCTTTGTTCAAAAATATACATACTTAAGGGGAGAAAGGATGGAAAGACCTCAAAATGGCTGCCATCGGGTTGCCATGGGCATGTGGGGGCGGGGGAGCAGGGTACTGGTGATTCTTTATGGGTTGATTGATGGTGTATTTGACACAGGCTGGCTCTGGCAGCACATATACTAAAACTGGAGTGATACAGAGATTAGCACAGTCCCTGACTCCTGAGCAGGCAAATTTATGAAGCATTCCATATTTTTAAAAAAATTATTTGAGAGGCTGAGGTGGAAGGATTGATTGAGCTTGGGAGGTCGAGGCAGCTCAGCCAACATGGCACTGCTGCACTCAAGCCTCCATCTCTCCCCAGAGGTGGGTCCTGTGGTCTACAAGATTCCCTGTACTCTGTGAGCCACGGCGGCGCCTGCAATCCCAGCACCCTGGGAGGTCGCGGCGAGGCGGGGAGGGGGAGGGAATCCCTTTAGCCCAGTTCAAGACCAGCCTGGGCAACATAGCCAGACTGTCTCTAAAAATGTATGTTTGACAACGCCTCTATAATACGGCAACAGGAACTGTGGCATCAATGTCTGCAAGAGAGCCCGGGAGAGCGAGTCCCACCATGCTCACCGCCGTAATAGGGCAGCCACCGGTACCGCCGCCCCTGGAACTCCACGCCATCAAACTCCGTGCACTGCTCGGCCCGGAAATCACGGGCACCGTCCGGGCAGCTCTGCCGGGCGGAGGGGAAGTCTGGGTCCAGGAGGCGGAGTCCGAGGTCCGCCCACCTCCCAGGAAGCCTGGGAGTCTCCCCCCACCACCGCCCCGCACCCTCCCCCATTCCTGTCTGAGCCTCCGGAGGTGAAGTTTCGCCCCCCCACCCCGCCCCGTCTCCCATGCGCGCACCTCCAGGTGCTTGAGGCTGGGGAGGGCAAGGCCAGTCCCCGGGGGGCGGGGGTGCAGGGTCCCCACACAGCCCTGCTGCGGACTGGCAGGAGGACCCCAGGCAGGGGCGGGCATCCAGGTGGGGACGTCGGCCGAGAGGGGCTTGGGGAGCTGGTGCCCTCGCCCACACCCCATGCGCTTTACCTCTGTGCGACAGGAGCGGTGGCTCCGGGCGGGGCCCACGCAGCTGGAGCCTCCATCTCTCCTACGGGACCAGAGCACCGGGAAGACGGGGACCAGCCTGAGAGCCGACGTCCCCCAACTCCTGTCCTGGGGCTCCCTGCAGGCCCCAACTTCTGCGGGACTCTCCAGTGGGAGCAGCGAGGCGAGAGGGTGCCCCCGCTCCCGCTCCCGCCCCCGCCCCCACCCCATAAATCCCCTGGGTGGCCGTGGGGGGCCCGCGTTGGTACTCGGGAGAAGCAAGACTCGGAGCTCCACCACCCTGTAGATTTAAGGCAGGACCACTCCACTGCCTCTTAAGGCAGATTCCCAGGGAAGACCCGAGGTGCCTGAGATGCAATACCCACCCACCTGGTACCACCATCCTGCCATCTAAGCAGGACATCAGTATAAGGCTCTTAGTATCATTCCTGGTCTCTCTTCCTCCTCACATAGGGTTCTCAGGAGCAACCCCTTAACAAACAGGGACAGAGGAGCCTCACTACCCCTTCTTCTGTGCCCCACCTCCTCCACTGACCCTGCTAGAGTGCAGTGCACACAGCAAGCACTTGGTAAACCGCTTGAAGTGGGGAACATCTATACTCGGCAAAGAAACCACAGGAGTTGGGAATTGCCAGTTGAAGATTCATTAATTCCACTAAAATTGACTGCACCTGTCATACGGCAGGCAGGTGCAACATCAGGAGCTGGAGAGGGGTGGGGGGGGCAGGCCAAAGGCAGCACATGTGCTCCAGCTCCAAGTGGAAGGCCCTGGAAAATTGATGTCCTGTGCTGCACTGATGTTGCTTCCAGAATGAATATGCTGCTTGGTGGGTTCTGCTGGTGTGGCCAGGGCTGGCCTAGGCCACGATCACCCAGCCCGCCACCCAGAAGCCAGCGTCTCCTGCTCCTGCCCTCTTTTAACAAGCCAGACCATTTTCATCTCTCCTACCTCTGGGAGTAGCAGGAGCGCTCCTGGAAGCTGATGCCCCCTCCACAGGTCCGGCTGCAGGAGCTCCACTGGCCCCAAGGTCCCCAGGTGTCACTCTGCCGCCTGACTTTGGGAGCCTGCAGAAGACAGGACCACGCATCAGCAGTGCCGACTCAGAGCCTGAGCCCGGGGGCCCCACAAGGGCGCTCTGCCTAAAAACACTCCCCACCCATCAAGGAGCCTGGGATTCTCCCTTCTGGGGCCAGCCTTTAGGACTTAGCAACACTGCCTGGCACCCCCAAATATACTCCTTTTCAGAATTAGCCTGCTTTCCCCATAAGGAGCTGAGAGGCAGCTGGGAAGAGTTTGGAGGTTTAGGGGCCACTGGAGTGAGGGACCCCATAGCCACGGGCAGTTTGAGGGCCCAGGTATTTGTGGGTTAACAAGGGAGGAGGCCCTAAAAAGGGAAACAACATGGGGGATCCTGCTAATCTGTGGCAGAATCTCCCAGGAGTACCCCAATATTCATCCCCTCCTCCCATTGTCAAAGAACCCTTGAAAACTTGACTCAGCTGGGTGCCTGGCTGCCCAAAATTTAAAAAAATACATTTTAGACTTCCTTCAGCTAACTGGCTACGTCACTTAGTTCTCATCAGTGAGATAGAACTATAAACGTTGGGCAGCTGCCGCTAGTAACCTCCTTAAGAAAGGCTGCATGAGCATTTGTCCTTTCTTCTTCCTTCTGTACTGTTTTAGGCTGTCTGGAAAGCAGATGTGATGGCTGGAGTTGAAGCAGCCTTTGAGACTGTGAAGTAACTTGGAAATAGAGGCTTCAAATAGTGAAGCAAAGATAGACTCTAGAGCCTGGAGGATATTGTGCAACAGAACAGGCCCAGGCTTCCAACCCCGGGGTGTTTCCATGACAGAGGAATCATGTCTGTCTTGTTGAAGAACTGTTCCTTGCGATGCCACACAGGATTATGATCCTAACAGATACACTTTCCTACCAGAGAGATCGGACCCCTATTTCAGCTGGCATCAGAAATCCACATGCTACACACACATTATCTCATTTCATCCTCGCAACCCAACAGATCCCATTGCATGGATGAGAAAAGTGAGGCAGAGAGAGGAAGCCACAGAGGAAGAAGTGGGCACAGTGGCCAGCCAGCCTCAATGCAGGCCTCTGCTCCCCTGCCAGGGCTGTGCTCCCACCTCCCTGGGGGAATCAAATGAGACACTAGATGATTCCCTACAGGGTTGGACAGGGATTAGATGTAACTTCACAATTTTGTCAGGAGGCATACAGTGTACATGCAAACATTTGCTGGATGGGGGCTTTTTTTTTTTTTTTTTTTTTTTTTTTTAAGAGTATCACCACATAAGAATCTCAAGGAAAAATACCATTCCCACTTTTCAGAGAAAGAGCTCAATGGTCACATAGAAAAGCGGGCTCTTCCCTCCATGGTGAGCCCAGAGCAGCTTCCCTGGATCGCAGGTGAGGAAGGAGGTTTACTAACCTCTAACATCCCTGTGCCAAACATTGAGTTATCCTTGTCTTATTACAAACCTAGAACCCTGAATCAGAACAAACCACACTAAGCTTGCCGAGCCACACACGCAACCAAGAAGGAAGCACTGGCCGGACGGAAGCTCTCAGCTTTCGCTTTGTAAAATCACCTACTCCTTCAGTTCTAACTGGGACAGAAATCTCTAAGCTTTCAATACCATGAGCAAAAACTTCAAAGTGTTTTCTCAATGAAAGTTAAACTCAAATTTACTTGGATCAAGTTTCAGTTTCACAAGGGAAGATACTGAGTGTTGAGTGGAGGGTGACTTTCCAGAGAAAAGGACTCCCTGCAGTCCCAGGTGGGATTCTGGCAGCCCCCACACCACAAGCAGCCTCATCCCACATTTCAAGTATTCAGGAGAGGCCTTTAGGAATGGCTCTTTCTTAGCTGCAGGCCTGGGCCTGGCTGTCAATTACCCTCTGACCAGGGCCTGTTTGGATGTCTCTTGGCTTCTTGGCACAGCAACCAGCAAAACCCACCCTTCTCTGGAGCTGGGGTTGGCGTACTGGTGTGGCCAAGGCAATGAGGGGTACCCCTGCCACGGAGCCACCACCTGGCCATGAGGATAAGGAGGGGGCAGGACTGACCTGAGCAAGGGCCCCCTAAGGGGCATGCTGTTTCCAGAATGCCTTCTTGCCTCCTGTGCCCAGCACCTGTGAGGCTTCTGTGAGGCAGGCGTTCACTAGCCAGGAGCCCTAGCCCATCCACCCAAGAGCTGTGCCCTGTTCATGCACTCCACAGTCTCTGAGGAAGAAAAGCACCTTCAGCTACGGGCAACACGAGCACACTGTTGCTCTGTAATTACTCAAACCATGAACTGCCCAACGTGGAGTGAAGCTGGAATGAGCTGAACCAGCCTCACCTGGGGCCAGTCCTCACCTGTCTCATTTTGCTCTAGGCGCCCCGCCCATGCCTCCTCCAACTCCCACCTGGAGCCACTCAGGAGTCCCCTTTCCTGCTGCACACTATTTCCCAGGGAATCAACTGCTCAGCGTGTGTGTGTGTGTGTGTGTGTGTGTGTAAGAGACAGAATGCATGCACACCCACGTGCAGGTGGAAGAGAAGCTGAGGCCCAGGCACACACAGGCCACCACCTTTATTCATCTACTCATTCTGTTCAGGCTGACCCCTGGCAGCACTAAGTGATCCAGAGAAGGTTCTCGACAGGGTGTCTCCTGCCCCAGTGACGGAGGGAGGCAGGGGAGCTGTGAGCGGGGCCACGCCCCCTGCAGACTCAGAGGGCAGGGTGAGAAGACTTCTCAGCCCAGGCCATGCCCAGCCCTAACCGAGGCTCGGTCCACACAGGGTGTTGTTTTTGTTTTTTTGAGTCAGAGTCTCACTGTGTCATCCAGGCTTGAGTGCACAATCTTGGCTCACTGCACCCTCCACTTCCCAGGTTCAACTGATACTCCTGCCTCAGTCTGCCAAGTAGCTGGGACTATAGGCGCGCTCCACCATGCCTGGCTAATTTTTTGTATTTTTAATAGAGACGAGGTTTCACCATGTTGGCCTGGATTGTCTCAATCTCCTGACCTCGTGATCCACCCGCCTCAGCCTCCCAAAGTGTTGTTGGGATTATAGACATGAGCCACCGTGCCCAGCCTTACTCGGAGCATTTCTAAGGGAGAAAGGATTTAATAGGGCCCAGGGTGCTGTGGAAACGTTGATTTGTCTCATCTGCATGACAACCTCTGGGGTGGGCATTATTACCCCAAAATTAGAGCAATCTAAGGCTTGATTTGCCTAGGGTCACGCCGCTGCTGAGGTGGCTCTGGATTTAACCCTAGGGCCTGGACAATGTCCGGCTGCCCCCTCCACCTGGGCTTTGGCCTTCATGCAGCTGGGCCACAAGCACATGCTGAAGGACCTGAGAGTGGCATTTAGGGAGCAAGGTTCATGGGGTGGCAGAGGGGACTGTGGGAAGCTGGCAGGTAGTGGAGAGGACATGAAAAAGGCTGGCGCTGGCCCACCCACCACTCCAGCTGTGACCCATGTTGGGTTCACAGGGCTCTTGGAGAAGTGCCTGATGCCCACCGCTGCCATCTATCCTGCCTGCCCTATACACCCCTGCAGAGATGCCCTTCTCAGCCTCCACCCCCAGATGCCAGACATGGCATTTCCCACTGCCCTCCCTAAGGCAGAAAATAGTTTGGGTCCTTTCACAGGGATCCTTCCTCTCTTACCTCCCACCCGCCTCACAGAGGGGTGGGCAGGGCTGCGGGTTACCCCGGGAGATTTCTTCTGGGGTAGGACAGGGCCCAGGTGCCTCTGTGGCTTCTATTCTCCCAGGCACTGAGCCAAGGCAGCACCCAGCTCTGCAGACCCTCTCCTCCGCAAAGGTGAGGGCTGTGGTCTAGAAGCTTCCCTAGAAGAATCCTCTAGACCCAGGGACCTTCTCCAGAGAGCCCTGGCCTTTGGGCCCTCATTAATGAAACAGCAACTCTGACCCCATCCAGCTTCCTGTGTCCACTGTCTCAACTTGCAGTCTAATACAGTAGCCACTAGCCACGTGTGGCCAGGCGCGGTGGCACACACCTGGAGTCCCAGCTACTTAGGAGACTGAGCAGAAGAATCACTTAATCCCAGGAGGTGGAGGTTACAGTGAGCCCAAACCATGCCAGTACCCTCCAGCCTGGGCAACATAGTGAGACTCTGTTTCAAAAATACATAAATATTTAAACAATTTAAAAACAAATTTAATTAATTAAAGTGAAATTAAAACTAATTTCATCTACATTTCAAGTGCTCACTGGACGCAGGGGCTACTTACTGGACAGCAGAGACACAGAACAGTTCCACCATCTCAGAAGGTTCCATGGGACAGCCCTGCCCTAGGTGCTACCCCAAGGGGAAAGGAAAAAAACTGGCACCCCAAACCTCTATGTCCAAACACCCCAGCTTACGGGAAGCCGTGTTCGGCTCCAGGCAGAAGATGGGTGTCTGGTGGGATGGGTCTCCCAGCCCTGCACCTTGGCTGGCCCCAGCATTGCTCCCAACCTGTCCTTCCACCTTGGAAGACCACCCAGGGGAGGGGGTTCTGGAGAGCTCCCACCACCTTCTCAAGGAGGGAAGCCCTGGGAAGGTGCCACCCCAACAAACTGCGCCAGAGGCCGGGTGGGCAGTTCTGGTCACCCTAGCCAGCCGGCTTCAAGGACCTCAGAGGCGCAGGCTCGCCTCCTCCCAGCCGGTCTTCCCAGACATCACCCCTTTCCTGGGAACGCAGCCTGCAGGCCCGGGCCTCCCCAGCAGAGTCCTCCCGGGGGCGGAGCAGGGCCGAACTCACCGAGGACCCGGGCGCTGGAGCGAGCAGCAGTGGCACGAGCAGGAGCAGCCGCATCTCAGCCTGCAGAAGACGCATGGGGTTAGCTTGGGCGCGGCCGGAGCGTGTGGGCGCGTCCCTCCCAGTGGCCCACAGGTGACCAGGAGACCCGCACCCGGACCGCCGGGCGCGCAGTAGAGAACACAGAGTGCGCACGCCCCGCCGGGCAGCTCAACACGTGAGCGTGAGCGAGACACGGCCCATCCGCCACTGGCAGAAGTTCAGGAGCAACTTGTTTCAGGGTTCCGGTGGTAGAAAAAAACGAGAGCGCAATTAAAAATACTTTTTTTGTGGTTGAAAAACAGGGAGTTCAGAATCCAAGTAACTAGACTCGCTATTTTAATTCAGCAAGATTCCTTTAAAAAAAGCTATTACATCAGTTGTTTAAAAACCCCTAATAAGACTTTTTAAAAATCAAGTCTCTGAAGACAATTTTAAAACTCAAATGCTCTAAAAATGTTAATTATATCCCATTTTAAACCCAAGCCAGCATTTCTCTGCACGGGGAGGCTCCATAGGCAGCCTCCATAACCAGTGTATGTATGTAGTGCAGTGTGTGTGTGGTGCAGTGTGTAGTGTGTACAACAGTGTGTGTGGTGCAGTGTGTATGGTGTAGAGTATGCGCTGTGCAGTGTGTGTACTGTGCAGTATATGTGGTGCAGAGTATGTACTGTGCAGTGTGTGTGGTGGTGTGTGTGATGCAGTGTGTGGTGCAGTGTGTGTGGTGCAGTGTGTGTGGTGCGGTGTGTGTGGTGCAATGTGGTGCAGTGGATGGTGCAGTGGGTGTGGTGCAGTGTGTGTAATGGTGTGTGCAGTACAGCGTGTGTGGTGCAGTGTGTACGGTACAGTGTGTGTGTAGTGTGCGTGGTGCAGTGTGCGTGGTGCAGTGTGTAGGTAGTGTGTGTGGTGCAGTAAGTACAGTGTGTGTGGTGCAGTGTGTGGTACAGTGTATGTAGTGTGTTGTATGTGCCATGCAGTGTCCAGTGTGTGCAGTGTGCAGTACAGTGTAATGTGCTCAGAGTAATGTGTGTGCAGTGTCTGTGTGGTTTGATGTGTGCATGCATGCAGTGTGCATGTGCAGTGTGTGTGTGGGTCTACGTGCAGTGTGGTGTGTGGTATTTGGTGTGGGTGTCCAGTCTGTGCACACACTGCAGTGTGTGTGTATGTATACATACATGTTGCTGTATCACAAAATGACATAAGCAATGTGTGCCATTCAGTACAAAACATTCGACAAGTAGTAGCTTGCAGGTTTGAACTTTAAAATCGGTAATGCTACCAGTGTTCTAAATTTTTTTTAAGGTATAAAATGACTTCTGGCTGGGCGCAGTGGCTCAAGTCTGTAATCCCAGCACTTTGGGAGGCCAAGGCGGGTGAATCACGAGGTCAAGAGATCGGGATGAACATGGTCAACATGGTGAAACCCCATCTCTACTAAAAATACAAAAAATTAGCTGGGCACGGTGGCACGTGCCTGTAATCCCAGCTACTCAGGAGGCTGAGGCAGGAGAATTGCCTGAACCCAGGAGGCGGAGGTTGTGGTGAGCCGAGATTGCGCCATTGCACTCCAGCTTGGGTAACGAGCAAAACTCCGTCTAAAAAAAATAAAAATAAAAATAAAATAAAATAAAGACTTCTGTTTACAAGAATACAAGACAGTATACAGAAGCCAAGCTCAGCAGAAATGTAACCTGGCACATCGAGCAAGGTACATACTTGTTAATTTGGCACAGTGAGTCACTGAGTCATTATTTTTGTGGTCAGGTTGGAGATTCCTGGGGTTGGAGGGTGAGGGAGGGGGTTGCTGCTAGGGCCCAGCCTCTGCTCTGCTGGGGGGCCGCTCCCAGAGCAGGAGCCTCCTGCTAGGGCTAGGCTAGGCCAGGGGAGGCTGAGGAGAAGACTGAGAAAGAAGAATTTTACTTGTAGTTACTCAGAGCACCACCGCCTCCGCTGCAATTGCACTGAACTTCAAGCCCATATCTGCCTTTCCGAAGTCTGAAAAGTTCAGTTTTTCTGGTTCATTTGGTGGCAAACAACCCCTTCGACTCCAAGGCCAGTCCGGGGTCTGGTCACGGGGCGACTCCGCGGGCCGTGGGACCTCGACCTCCCCTGCCTCCGGAGGGCAGGGACCGGGTGGGCGCCCTCAACCTGGTGTTCCTGAGGAACTCGTCTGCGCTGAGCAAGGGCCGAAGGTGGCGGCCTGCACCCAGGGCGCAGGGGGAAGGCGGGTGGCCGCCCACCGAGCCACCCTCTGCACGGTCTCCAGCCGACTCCTGTACCGCCGCAGTCCGAACGACGCTCGTCCCAGTGGCCCCAGCGCACCGCCCTCCTCCGCGTCGGTCCCACCCTGACAGGCGCCCCGCGTTCCCACCCCAGGAACGCGCCGCGCACCCTCGAGGCTGAGAGGCGCGGCTCCCACGGGAGGCCTGGGTGGCCGTGCAGGTGCCAGCAGCCCCTGGGGCTTCCGGGCGCTCCAGGCCCGCGGCCCAATGGCACCTCCCGGGCGGGGCGCGCGGTCTCCAGGGCCTCGCCTGCACCATGCGCCAGGAGTGGCGTCCACTCGAGGGAAGGTCTGAGCAGGCGGAGGGTGGACACTGGGGCCGCCCGGTACCACCTCTCCGGTTCCCCCCATTTCCTTCCAGCCCGGCCAGGGGCGGGCAGTACCGAGCAATGACCCTGCGCCCACCTCGGGAGAGCGAACCGGGGCGGGTCTCCTCTGTGGTCCCCCACTTTCTCCGACAACGCAGTCGCCGAGAGCCAGGCGAGCAATTTCCTGCGGAAGTCCCGGGGTGCGCTGCCCCAGCCGCTGGGCGTTCGCGGGCTTCCAGTCCCTCCGCCTCCCTACCTGTCTCCACCGGCGCCGGGAGGCCGCGCCCAGGACCGCTCCGTCGGTGCCCGCCCAGGCTCAAGCCCGCGAGGTCGGCGGGGCTGCGAGGAACGCCCGCAGGGGTGGGACTTTCTCTCTCCGCCGCTGCCTGGCTTCACCCTCCACCCTGCCCGGTCTCCCTTACCCACCTCCAATCCCAGAGGGTGGACAGGGCCTTAGGAGAGGCCCCCGTGGTGACCCGTGTTCCCTGAGGCTTCCACCCTCTTGAGTTTGTGCCAAGGCTTGGTTCATCCTCCACTCTGTGGTTACCCCTTCTGTCCTCTCTTGGGTCAGCGCCAGTTACCTCCCCAGTCCCATTTCCCCTTCTAGCTCTGTGCCCTGTCCGCTCCTCCCATCCCTTCCCTACACACAACGCGCCTGTGTCCAGCCGCCTCCTTCTCCACACCTGGATCCTGTCCTTCAGCCACAGCGGAGTTCTCCGCACACATGCTGCTGCTTCCCATCTCCCAGCACCTTTTCTCACTCCTGGAATGCACTCTCCCAATCCCCCCACCTCTCAAACCCCTACTCAGCCCTCAAAACCCTGGTCAAATGTCACTTTCCTTCCTTTCTTCTTTCTCTCCCTCCCTCCCTCCTTCCCTTCCTCCCTTCCTCTCTTTCTCTCTTCCCTTTCTTTTTTTTTTTAGACGGAGTTTCACTCTTGTTGCCCAGGCTAGAGAGCAATCGTGCGATCTCAGCTCACTGCAACCTCTGCCTCCTGGGTTCAAGCAATTCTCCAGCCTCAGCCTCCCGCATAGCTGGGATTACAGGCGCCCGCTGCCATGTCCAGCTAATTTTTGTGTTTTCAATAGAGACAGGTCTTCACCATGTTGGCCAGGCTAGTCTGGAATTCCTGACCTCAGGTGATCCACCCACTTCGGCCCCCCAAAGTGCTGGGATTACAGGCATGAGCCACTGCGTCCAGCCCTCTTCTTTAAGTAGGGACAAGGTCTCGCCATTTTGCCCAACCTGTTCTCGAACTCCAGATCTCAAGCCATCTTCCCATAGTGGCCTCCCAACGTGCCACGGTGCCTGGCAGGTCACCTGCTTTTGAAGCCATCTCCACACCACCCCAGGCCAACTGGGTGCCTGTCCTGCTCCCTGGGTTTCTGTCCCTGTTGCTGTGAGTCCCACCACCTGTGGCAGGACACTAATTAGCATCAAGGTGGGGGCTCAACACATGGCCTCAACCTGATTTGTGTTCCTGGTTGTCTTTTTTCTCAACCAAGACACTCTTTGCCTGCCATTCCTTTTTTGAAACTCGAATTCACTCGTCTTTAGAAACTGGATCTGGGCAAGAGGGAGGTTGGGGGAAGGTGTGGGAGGTCCAAAGGCTTCTCCCCTCTCCCCACACTCTTCTGCCTTCAGCTCCTTGCTGCCCACCCCCCCACTTCTCCCTTGGCCTCATTTGGGCAAAGAGAAGCCACCATTGGGGAGCTCACTCCCCCTTCAGCCCCTCACCCCGCCCTCACTCATGCAGCTCATCTCCCTGTTCAGACAAAATGCTTATTAAAACATGGCCGGTTTAAATCAGGCACATTTCTTACCTATCAGTGAAGACTGGAGGAACGGCAGCTGTAGCGGGACCCCAGGGGAGTTGTGTGAATTCTTAGGCAAAGATAAAGCTTGGCAGTGAAAGGGGAGTGGAATCGTGCAGCCCCTTCTAAAAGGAAAAGCACTTCTTCCATTCCATAGCCCCCACTCCCTGCCCCCACCAGCTGGGACTTTTCTGAGCTTGGTCAAAGGTCCCCTTTGTTAAGTAAGAGGAAAACGCTTCTCCTGCTTCAGGGTAGGGGAAGCTGAGGCCCAAGGAGCTCCCTTCCTTGCCATGTCCCTGCTTTTCCTATGATCCTTTCTTCTCAGACACCCAGGCCTGTGATTTCTTATGCCTCATCCTAGCTGCAAAGAGGACGCTGAGGTTGGGGGACAGAACCCACACGCAGTGGTAAGGGGCTGTCCTAGACCCACCAGCGAGGCCCTGCCAATTACTGGCTTGGGCAAGAACTTCTCTCCCAGCCTCATTTCTCCTCTGCCTCCCTCACAGAGATGTGGCGAACAGAATTGATGCGTTACAATAGGATGGTTTAGAAAGAAGAGGCCAGGAAAGAGTGGCCTCTTTCCTTCCCACTGTGAAGTCCCCTCTGCACTGGCCCTGTGC